CATAAAATATATAATTTTTTTTTTATATTGAATTTATACAATTATATCATCTTTAAAAATGATATAAAATATAAAGAAGGTTAAATTTATTTTACTAAATAAAAATTAATTTATTATTGATAAAAAAAAATTAACTAATTTTTCCATTCATCTCACCGATAAACGGACTAAAATAAACGGAAACGAGCATTCTCTAGCTAATTATTATATCCAAGGTCTCGAGTGTTGTGAGGTTTATTTTCAAAAGCTTCAGTTATTCTTGCAGCTGGCCTATGGAACTTGGAACCTAGATTGCTTAGACTCTCCCTTTGGAAACCAGATTTCAACCCAAGAAGCTTCAAGAATTCTCTTGCACAGGTTTGGCTGCGTATATATGAATTGCCTCAAGAATATTGGTGTTCTAGGATTATTCTTTTCTTTCTATTGCTTCGGGTGTTGGCACCCCAATTGCGCTGGACCAAGCAACCGTGCAAAGATCGTATGGACATTTTGCACGTGTACTGGTTGAAACAAACCTTGCAGAATCATTACCGGATCACCTATTGGTAGAAAGGGAAGGCTATGCGTTTTACGTGTCATTGGATTATGAAAAACTTCCTGATTATTGCTTATCATGTCATTGTATTGGACATGTTAATTCTTCTTGTAAATTTCAAAAACCTGCAGGTGAGGCTGGAAAGAAACCAAATTTTGTTGCAAGTGGAGCACCTGTAGAAATCTTGCAACTGATGATGGTTCAAAATTACCAGCCTTTCCTGAAAAGGCTGCTTCAGATGCAGGGAACACCGCTTATGATAAGCCAACTGCACTAATATCTAATGTGGCAGGTTCACATGTGCACGTACAAGGGGATGCAACTTTTGATATTGCACAACCTTTTCAAGTTGGTGCTGGTCCTCCCGGTCAAACTAATGATGTAGCTGGAATAGTCAATGATGCACCGCTTGATGATCAGCCAGATGCAGCTGGAAAAGTCCAATTTACACCACTAGATGATTAGCCAGACAATTAGGTGGCTACTGACTTGGTTAAACACCAAGTGGATATTTCAGCTGATCCAGGAAATGATGATTCAGTTAATTCTGGTGCTGACCGAGAAATTGATGAGGTGCTGGCAGAAAATGATCCAGCTGCTAACAATGGTCTAGACTAGCCAGTTGCTCGGTCAGTTAACTTTGGGGCTGATCATGAAGTATCACCCCTTGATCCAACTGTTGGTATGGCTCCAGTCCAGCCAAGCGCAATCATTGCTGCTGGATCCCAGATGCCAAAGGAAAAATTGATGAATGTTGCAGCTGCTGCAACTGAGGTACAACAACTAGATAACAATTCTTTGATGGAGGATTTACTGCCGAACTTTGCAAAAAATGATGGAGATCGACCTCTTCCTGTGGCACAATCTGCTTCTAATGCCTCGGATTCTTTAGAAGGGATGCC